TTATTACTCCAGCTTGAACAGTAACTTCGGAGATAGCAACTATGCTTGGTGTTGGAATCCACTCATGGGTAGCCAGAATCAAAATCAAACCAAAATGCCCTTGAGAGCTAAGTGACTAGAATGATGGAAGAAGTTAAAGATGCCTTCAATTTATCATTATAATGAAGTGTCCGTAGCTTGATATTTAAAAGCTTCTCCTCTACTAGCATGAGATTTACAACAGACATAGCAATCTAAATTGATTCTCGTCTAACGCTTTTGCGAATTCTGTAGTTCCCTCTATTAACTCTGTTTCAATGTAGAGGGCTTTGATTGTTTTCGAAGTTGTAACGTTTTCGTCGCGCAAATTTCCTTCTCGCGAATTTTGGTAATTTCTTCATTTCGTAACTTTAGTTTCTATCGTCGGTTTTAATAGGCCCTTATACTTAGATCTCCCAAATTACTCTATTGATTTTCGTACGTGTTTTTGAGAGTTTTGAAATTTTTAGTAATACTTCCTATTCGGTGACTTTTTATGACTGCGTTCAATCCTGGAATTTCCCGGACATAAGTGAAGGTCTTAATGTGTTGATGGCCTTTTTACGGCTAACGGGAAAATTTTTATTCCGTTCCGTTCATGGGAGAAATTGTTACGTTTAACTTTTTTACCATTTAAGGTTAAAATTCGTCAATTTTAACGCCTAACAACGAAATCTGTTGGTCATTTTTTTCTACTAACGGTTAACCCCATTGAGACCCTCATAAGTGACTCTGAAGCTAAACGTAAGCAAGGTAAACGAGTGTGTTTTGTAACTGAAGGTTTAATTTTAAACCCTGTTACTCCTTAATGGTGCTCCTACTAGGTGGGCAATATCCTTCGTCTCCATTTTACGCGGCAGGAAGGATAAACATTGTGAACACAGTTTTTAAAACTCTAAAAAGTGAAATCTTGAATTGAAGAACTGATTAACGAAAAAAAGATTTTAACTCGAACTGAATTATTTTCATTTGATAAAATAAAATACTGGGCAAAACACTCATTATATTTTGTTTCAAAATTTTTTTTGCGTTATATGAAAAACCTGTAGAATCTTCAACTAAAGGAATACATACTAAATACAAAGACAACAAAACATCATATCATAGGTTATTAACTACGATCGCTTCAGGCGTTCACTTAGAGAGTAAACCCGTGAGGCGGTGAATAAATAACCGTGAATATCTGAAAATCATGTGCATAACCAGCTCCCAGTTGGCAGAGCACTGCACCGGTATCCGTCACTTAGGTCATGGGTTCAATCTCGCACAGGCCTGAACTTTTTTCAAGACTTATTTTCACTACTGCTCACGTAGTGTTCTTTACTGCGAAGCTCGCTTTGATATTCACAGATATATCTCGTTTCTGAGATTTACGTTGGCATAAGGAATGACAAAACGATTATTCTTGAGAAAAGCTATCACTCTACCAAGAAATGTTTGATAAAGAAAAAAAATAACGGAAGAAAGAAAAGTAAACTTCTCACTTAGGTAATCCACTCGCCACTCATACCATTCCTAGATTTCTGCTTTTTTCAGTCCCCAGTCAATGACGCATGCACACTTCAATTTGACATATCATGTGACCATTCCTGCACTAGACAAAGGGCTCCGCCAAGTCAATTTAAAGATAAAGCACTTAGGATCATTTGGTAATACATCATCTGGGCCTTTTGTCGATTTAAATAACGTGACAACAGGCCTTTGAGAATTAAAGTGCGCCGACATGTACGTAATTATCAGCGTCTCAGAAAGATTTTTATAATCTAACTGAACGACATAAGACGCTATGGCAGCGTACGTATCCCACGATACGTTCAAAGTGGTCATCTTGAACTTAACGAAATATTTTTATGACAAAATGAATACCTTCTTTCGGTGCAAATGCAGTTAAGAAATATTTTTAAACCTCATTAACTCTACTTGTATTGATACGGAAAGAAACATTTGACATCGCTGCACTGTTTTGGAATTCTCTCGATTGCAATAAGACTTCTCTTTGAATTAACTTATAGTCTTTTTACGTACTTGAAGAATTTCACGGTTCCAGTACAGTGTAACAGTTATTACACACAATAATATGCCGGCACATCGACGAGATATCAATAGAGAAACGGAACAACAGAATCATGCATAGGAAGGTAGATAATTTAAAAGGTAACTAAGGAAGGTCTCTGACATGAACAAAGCAGCAGAGGAAAGGGAGGAATGAAGAAAAAAGAGCGATAGGAAGTTCTAAGATTTGGATTAATATCGAGTAAACGTGTCTGTATTTTTTCAGAAAGACGTTTCAGCTTATATTCA